CACACACACACACATACACACACACACACCAAATTTTCCCTCTTTTGGAAAATTAAATTGTTTTATTAGCTGGGCATTTTACTAAGTCCTGTTCATGTATGCATGTGCTGTGAACAATTTCTTGATTGTGTCTCTAGAAAGGATTGCTCTCCTTGTCCCCTGTCAATTTCACCTCCTTCCTGGAAGGACTTCAGCCTATGATGGTGTGCATGAGGACACACACACACACCAAATTTTCCCTCTTTTGGAAAATTAAATTGTTTTATTAGCTGGGCATTTTACTAAGTCCTGTTCATGTATGCATGTGCTGTGAACAATTTCTTGATTGTGTCTCTAGAAAGGATTGCTCTCCTTGTCCCCTGTCAATTTCACCTCCTTCCTGGAAGGACTTCAGCCTATGATGGTGTGCATGAGGACAGTCTAAGATGAAAGTTGACACGACAGTGTAACCCAAAGAGCACCACACCAGCCCTGAAACAAACTTCTATTGACTTTGATCTTCAATTGTGGGTCTCTTACTCATATCCAGTGTTCCATTTATGATTCCAAGGGTGTGTGTATATACATGGGGCAAAGCACACCAAATATTAAAATTGTCTCTGAAAAGAATACTATCACAGATTCAGTGCTCCTTTGAAAAAAGTTTATTCATATGTTCTATAGAATTCCTACATGCAGGAAAATCTATCAGTACTTACCTATATTCATTCCCCTCTCCTAACAACATCACATGTGGACTCATAGCTTCCTGTACTGTTCTACCTAAGTGCATTGGCTGACTTCCAGAATATAATCAGCACTTGCACTGAAGACCATCTGGACATCCCATGGACACAATACTTCAGGAGTATTCTTAACTAGTAAGAAATGTGGATGGGGGGAAACATTCCAGCCCATTTTCCTTCAAGGGCATAAATGAGTGTTTGGCAATCTTTTAGGGAATCCTCAGAAAGACTAAGCTCCCATTGCCCACGTTGATGATCAGGTAAGTGCCAGCTCTCCTTCCTGGAGCATGCCTCATACCCTCACCTGGGCCTCCTGGGATTACTTGCTGAACCGATTGCACATACCCAAATCCTTGTCCTAATGTACACTTTTGAGCACACCTAACCTTGGCTACTACTTCATAATCATCCTATTTCAAGGCTAAAATTCAAGAATTTTTCCTCATCATTTTTCAAGAGAAAATGCTGTTGTTATTGCAACAGGTTTCTGCACTGAAGGAAGGAATTTCTACATCTCGCTTATCCTGTTATAGTTTTCTACATGTATTAGCACCTCAAGCACCTTCTTGCCCCTCAGGAAGGGAGACCCATACCTACTAATTATTTCAAAACCAGTGGTTTGTTGTTCAGTTTTGACTTTTGAGAGAGGTCTCATGCATTCAGGCTAGCCTGGAACTCACTTGAAGTTGAAGATGAACTTGAACTTTTATCTCTATTTTCCAAGTACTAGGATTTCAGGCATGTGCCACCATGCCCAGCAGTAAAATACTTTGAAATCTGAATTTATGCTATTTAAATTTATGTCTTTTAAGAGATTTTGAAATTAGACTAAAACAAGGATGTGGATAAAATATTTCTTTGTTGTGCTCTTATTAATATTAC